AGAATGGAGGTAGTGTACTTCACAGCTTTAGCAGGCTCTTTATTCACAGCTTTAACAGGCTCTTCACTCGACTCAGACAGAGAGAATAGAGATAAGTATGTTTCACAACTTTGTCGAGGGATTATCGTCGCCGGACAGTTTTTTGAACGCGGGAAGTCAGGAAGGCTGTAGAGGGAACTAGGTCTGGTTGGGCCAATAAGGGACAACTATCAAGACCTGTTCCACTCCTGACTTAGCACAGTAGGTGCAAGTGACATGCGCGCACAAGACAGGAGCACTGCTCAACACTATGATGTGAAGATCACTGAGCTTCAGGAGCATCTCTGCTCAACACTCGTGTGCGATAAGTTCACTGAGCTCAGGAGCATTTCTGCTCAACACCTAAGTGTGATAAATTCAGTGAGCTTCAGGAGCATTTCTGCTCAACACCTGAGTGTGATGAAATTCACTGAGCTTCAGGAGCATTTCTACTCAACACCTGAGTGTGATGAAAATCACTGAACTTGAGCAGCGCCAACCGAAACTGAATCACATAGCCGCTTCTTAGAAGGCTCACTGGGGAACCCATTTCTGCGGGGCCCCGGGGTCAGCTGAGAGCCAGTGTCTGTCCAAGGGATGTCCGCTCAGACAGAAAATACAACTGGCAGAGGGACGAGTCAGGAGAGGCAACAGATGTAACTGTGCAGCCCCAAAGTGGTCCCTGCCCAGCTGGACCACCAGGGGATGGAGTCTCCACTCTCCCTGGCCATAGCTGTCATGAGGCTCGTTGGCGGCACGATTGAGCAGGCCGGAAGAAATTTATAGTGGAATGAAATGACCTCAGAAGCTTCTGACTCTAAGGAGGAGGTGACGGGCGAGTTGTGACATTCGAGGGAAGCTTAGCGCAACGGTCGCGATGTTGTCTTTTCAGACCAGTACTAGCTCGCTGAGCAGCGGTGGCTCAAAGCGAGATGAACTGCCAACTCGAGGTAACGAATACCAATGCAGTCGGAGGTCGCCCAGGCCTCCGTTAAAGCATATCCTTTGTACATGGCCCCTCAGTCGGTGTTAGTGGACCTCGTTCTAGGAGCGGGCCGGGGTGATCTCTTTGTCACACAGGGTGTGCCGCTCTGCCACGGTCACCTCGGGACTCGATCATAAAGCTAGTGCTGAAGCGGTCTTCACATGGAGGAAGCCAAAGCGGCTGCGTCTGCCATATGCCCCAGGAGCCTCTGAAAAATCTTCCAGTGGGACCCTTTCTCACTTCACCAGCCGAACACACTCTTCTTGAAGAGACGTGTTGGACCAAGTCCTTCTCATGAACTGAAAAAAAGAGATACTCAGCCCGTGGGCGAGATTACTCTCTCCCAGTTGACCTGAAGACCCAACTGGCTAGGCTATGGAGCACTCGAAGGGTAGGACTTGTACTGATACTTCGCACCTTCGAACGCAAGAACACAGAATGATCTGTGGAGTGGAAGGATAGAGATCTGAAGTACTTTCCTTCAGGTCGAACGCTGCAGGCCAACCTTGGGGACGGAGTATTTGAAAATGCATCTGTGTTAGTAATTGAACGGAGGCTTTCAAAAAAGAGCCCGTTTCAATTGACACAGGTGCAAAAAGGCCATAACCCACCACATATCAAGGGTACAATGAAGTACAGGTTTAAAGAAAACGGTCTTCATATCGGCTAGAGGAAGAGGCTACATCGCGTCCTTCGCCAGTAGGACTGTGACATGCGCACGCAGGACAGGAGCAACGCTCAACACGTAGGTGTGATAAATATCACCGGCGTTTCTGGGGAGGCAGCAGCGGGCCACAGGGGCAGGATGTGCCGGATGGCCTCCGTCTGCGCGGAGGGGTGGAGGCAGCAGCGGGCCACAGGGGCAGGATGTGCCGGATGGCCTCCGTCTGCGCTTGGGCGGCAGAGAACTGTTGGACGCAGTTCTCCGCCGTGTCACCGACCAGCCCAACCTAGGGAAATTGGGGAGACCAGGAACGAACCTTGTCCGCATCCGCCATATCAACCAGGCTGAGCCAACGATGGCGCTCCTGGACCACTAAGGTGGACATCGCCAGACCGATCGTGCATGCCATGACTCTCGTGCCCCGGAGGGCGAGGTCGGAAGCACTGCGGTGCTCATCTATGAGCGCACGGTCTGGGCTACCTTCGTGCATGTCCATGGGTGCCCTGGCCTGACAGACCTGTAGCAGCGCCATGGCCCGCAAGAAGAGGCGGCTTGCCAACAGACTTTGTAAGCTCTGGCCGTCGGAACGGACGAGAACTCACAGGCCTTAGGGGGGAGACGAGGATCCCCCAAAAGGCAGCGGCCGCCGGACACAGGTGCACCTGTGTCACGACAGGCCGCTCCACTGGAGGGATAGCCTCGCAACCCTTCACCGCACCTCCATCAAGGGTAGTAAGGGGGAAAAGCTATTCAGGCAGTTTCTGGCAGAGAATGGTGCCGTCCACAACCTGGTAAGCTCTCCATGCACTTCGGGAAAGAAAAGCACTGGGGCGGCGAGCTGAGAACCAGCGCGGCCCGCCCCGAGATACCAATCCTCCAACCGAGACTGAACAGGACACGGTGGAGGGTTCCACTCGAGCCCGGCAGCCTGGGCGGCCCATTTCAGCATAGCTGACATTTCTGGATCTGGCTCGGGCAACGTTACACTCCCAGAGGGAGATAACATAGCCGAGTCGTCATCTCCAGAGGCCAGCTCACACTCCGATGCTGCTATCGACATTTTATCCTCTGGGGGAACCCCAATTGAAACGGCTGATCGGTTCATTACAGAGGGACCAGCACGTCTAACAGGAATTCCATCGACTGTGGTGTGATAGAGGAGTGAGGAGCCCACAGGGAATGGTTACCGGGCGAGACATCCATCACTATCGTCCAATCACCCATCCCACACGGCAGCCGGGGGTGGGGCATGGTAATGGGGACTCGCGCTTCGCAGACGAAGGCGAGTCTCAATCTCAACACCTCAACAGTCATATTCCCGCAATGGGAACATGAACCGTCCACAAAAGCTGCTTCAGCGTGCTGTAAGCCCAAATACGTGATGCAACAATTGTGACCGTCAGAGAGGAAAAGGGAATGACCGTATCCAGAAACGCACGGGTGGAATGACATCTTGAAAAGGACGGAAACGCACCCGTGTTGCTCTTTCAGGAAATAGGACCCATCACCAGTGCCGGAGCACACAGGGGAATGACCGCGGCAAAACTAAACAGTGAACTGAAACAGTGAAGCACTTACTTTTCCGCCCTCTAACCAGCCGTCAACACACACAGACATTTAGAAATGAACAGCAGTTGAGAGCTCAAAGCTCGCGATCACCGCTGCACTCGCGCTGTAGAAACCGCCAGCACTGGGAGAGTCTTCCAGAAGTACACCCACACACTCGCTCGTTATAAACAACAGCACTCTTCAGAGATATCAAATGATCGGCTCCGAAGCAAAAGGCAACTAGTGTGTGCATCCACTTCTGTATTTATACCCGCGCCGCGGGGGCGGAGTTTGTGATGTCATCACGCACGCCAATTTCCATTGGCTCATTCAATAGTACTCGAAGATGATTGGCTCCCTGGCGTGATTCCCATTCAGTCGACATCGACTACGTCTGACGTTCTCGACTGAAAGGGAACTTAAGAGTTTTCTGTTAAAACGGTGTTGTGTTAGCCCCCCCTAAGTTAATGACTAATGATCGTTACAACGGAAGTGAATCAATCAAAGCTTTAGCTGGAAAATAACTTTATTCTAGAGCTGCTATAAAACCAAAACAATCTCTGTTACTTTAATTTCCTATTATCACTGTAAAGCCACTTTGGAACAATCCTTTGTTAAAAGCGCTATATAAATGAAGATGACTTGACTTGACAATAGTCCGTATAAGGAAAGGAATGGGCGGGCGCAATAGCTCATTGGCCACTCATTTACTGATTGTGACATTTTACAGGTACCACAAACCTCACTACATAATATTAGCGTCCTCTCAGCCTCGACGGCAAACATACCGATGTTCTCCACTAATGCAGCATCTAGTCAACACATTTATTACTCTATAATGATATGAAAACACGTACTGTCCTGAACTGTATACATACTGTTTTATTGTCTGTTTTAAATCCGCATCTGAAGTGTCCCGCTCAATACCTTTGGCTTATTCCAAATACTACAAATTGCACACTTTGTCTTCAATAACAAAAGCATATTACTTAGCTATACTTTGTACAATATACTTTAAACATTACATTGTCTTACACAATACAGTATTTTAAATGTGTTACCTGAATAGTGATGGCTGAATTTCTTGGGGGACTTTTTTGACACAATGCTGAATGCAGTTGTTTTCAATGCCATTACAATAAATAACATACCTTCAATAACATATAGAGACGCATGGTATTAACAACTCAAACAGTGTTTATTTAAATCTCACATGGTTGTATCATGCATGGTAAAACATAACAAAATGTACCAACCATGTTTTTAAATTAAAAGAATACATAAAAAATCCAAAATAAATAAATAACATTTTGGAACAGCGGCCACACACACACTACACATTGTTAGTTAGTTTTTCTTGCTGAAATGCTCATTGTTAAATGATCATGCTCATGTTATCCATCTTACTCCCAAGAAGTATTGAAATAGTAGTACACATACAAGTATAGTACTAGTACACTAATATTACTTGCCACATACTTGGAAAATATAATTTACCTTCCAGTCTAAACACGATTGTTTAAATGATTTCATATAATTAAATATCTTTCACAACTATCAAACTTGAAAATTGTGACATCATTTTCAATAATAATAATAAAAAAAACATCAAATAAGCACAGACAAAAAAACAACAACATTTGTGTAAAGGAATAAATTGGTGCAAAACAATGCACAAGTCATTTTAAGGTGGTGAAGATCTCTAAATAAAATGTGACAAAGGCTATACTGTATATATATATATAGTTTTTTTTTCTTTTTTTCTGGGAGGATATATTTACAGTTTCAATTCAACTGGAACAACAATAATAATTTAAAATTGTCTATACTGTTATAAAAGTTGTTGATAAATAAAAAATAATAAATAAGAATTAGTTACATAACTTTTGAGTAACAGAGGCACGATAGTTTTTCAGCATGGTACAGATAAAGAACAGGCTGAACAAAACCAGCCAGCAAAAAACAAACTATACAAATGCACCAAAGTGCACGAAAATTCTGTTTTGTCACAATATTAAAGAGTCCTGTTATAGTATATGGGACATATATGAAGACCATATTGACAGTAGTTATTAGAATGACATTAAAAGCCCTTCTCTTTATGTGGTTTTCCTCATTTCTCTCTCTCCCTCTCTCTCCTGGTCCTGACTGCTTCAGAGCTCTGAGAACAGCCACAAGACAAAACAACTGGATGGAGAGGAAGAGGAGGAACTGTGTTGAGAAAAAACACGTTTGTTCTATAGTATTCAGCGAGAGGAACATAGAGAATATACAAGAGCCAAGAGTTATGATCCAGACCGCAGTGCAGCAGATCACTCTATATCTGAGAGGTTTGTACTTCAGAAAGGTTACAGGATGAACCACTGCCAGGTAACGCTCAACACAGATCAGACACTGAAACAGAGGACGACCGGTGATGCCTAGTCCCATTAAAAAACACATTAATGTTGTGAGACTTGAAAACCAAAAACACAGTAGAAAAATCAAACTAGTCACACAGATACCAATCTCACAAACAGACAGATTGAGTTTAAAGAACACTGATGCAACTCCACTTCCTGTGGTGATGATGAGCCATATAACATAGGAGTGAGTAGGAAGACCAAACAGGAAACTAAAACTGCATGCATACATTTCAAAAATGTCCAATGGCCCAAAGGAATTAGTTGTGGATGATTCAGTGGTGAAGTTCACTGTAGAGTTGTTCATTTCCTCCTTGAGTTTTCAAAATCTCATTCATAAAATTAATAAATAGTTGCAACAGTGATCTATTGGATAGAGACGAGCAAGAAAAAAAGCCAAAACAAATTGACTCAAGATTAAATTCTTCAATATCCCAGACTCCAACACACTCATATTTCCTATATTAAATTACTTTCATGTCCAGGGAATTTGAAATGACATAATTAGTAAACCAATACATCACAAGCCATAATTCTACACAATAGTTTAAACTAATTCTTTAAATTACCCAAAATATTACTTCAAAATTGTATGATTCTATTAATAACAATTAATTATAAAACAAATGTGGTGCATTTCTTAGCCTAAAGTTGTAAACATAACATTTTCTATAATATTTCCAAGGTGAAACATACACTTCAGCATAATGTTACTCATTCAGCTAATTTATCTAATTCACTCATAACATTTAAACGACATCTAATCATCACACTTATGCTTTTGCATGTTATTAAAAATAAAAACAAACAAACAAATCAATCAAAACGGAGAGTTTGTCACCTGAAGAGTGAATGTCCAGTCTTTCTGGGTGTAAATGACACTCTGTGCTATTTTGTCTCACTTTACAGCTGTCACAAGAATATATGTGCATATGTAACATGTCACATAAAACAAAACATATGCAAACATATGCAACACATGCATAAGATTCAAAATGATTGAATGTCTTTTATTCAAATGGCCTAAAACATTTAAATAGAAGGAGAGAATGTGTGCATTTGTTTTCTGCAGACAGTTTAATTATATAAATGTACACTATACAGCACATAACATTAAAAGACCTTCAGGTTTCTCTCGTCTTAGCTTGAATTACATTAAACTTTTAATGTATTTTGGCTGTTCATTTACACGACAACAGTGTCTTGGGGGCCTGTAAATGCAAGCTTTTGAAAACGGGTTTCAAAGTGTAATTTTTTGAAAAATATACCGTTATCGTCTCTGTGTAAACTACAAAAACACGAATTTGTGAAAACGGTGATGTCATGCGTACGCTGAGTCATTAGCCTCTTTCACACATACAGCCTTTACTGGTAAAATACCGGTAAGAGATTGTGTGTGAACAGGACCTTTTCAAAAATACCAGTAAATTGAATCTCTGCAGTTTGATACTATGTGCGTCTCATGTTTTTTTGAGCAAAATCGCTTTCTGTTTGATAAGCCGTTAGGCCTTTCACTCAGACGACAAAAACAATTATAACTAAAATTCTTCAAAAGAATGTTTTTAAAAAAACACACAAAAAACTCAAACTTGTCTTAAATTACCCAAAGGTAAGACATTTAATGAATGTATTGGGTTGTTTCAATCATTACAACAAAACACATAATAAATATAACTACTACACAAAAATTCATATGCACTATGAAAGGATTTCAAGTGAGGGAAAATGTACATTGAATCGGTCGCAAAAAAAAAAAAAACCCAGACAGGGTGATTCAAGTCCAAAACTCAATCTGGAAAATGTTGAAACTGGGTGATGCAGTAAGTATTCATTCAAAACAAACAAACCACAAACAAGTGTTTCAACCATATCTGATTAACACTCAAATAAAATGTGAAATGTGTATGCAAATAACAATTTAAATCACTAGTTTGACATCTCTGAATAAATGAGTGACCATGTTACCTACACTAACATGTTTTGGGATCATGAATCCTTATTTAGAGGAAATTGTAAATTTAGAGAAAAAAAATGAATTAGTGACATTAGTATTATGAGGAACAGGTGATTTTTCCAGTTCGCCGCAGAAAAAGAACGTCTCTGGTTACGTATGTAACCCTAGTTCCCTGAAGGGAACTCGAGCTGCGTGACAAGGCTTTGGGAACGCCCCTGCGTGAGTGCGTCGTGAAGCACGTATGAAATCAGTCCAATGGCGAGACGGAACGTCATAGGCGGGTGACGTCATCGACCAGGAAACTATATAAGCACCCCGAAACACAAGCGCGTCAGCTTCTGATAAGTGCTCACGGGCATGCTGGGAGTATGGCATAGACACGCAGCATCTCGTTCCCTTCAGGGAACTAGGGTTACATACGTAACCAGAGACGTTCCCTATCAGGGAACTCGAGCTGCGTGACAACGCTTTGGGAACGCTAATACCAACGTTGCCATACGAGCAAGTGTCCGTCATGTGAAGTCAGAGCGCACATTCGAACGAAAGCACCTGCGCCCCTGGAGTGGAGCTGAAGTCAAGATGATAAAACTTTACGAATGTATGCGGTGAGGACCATCCTGCCGCATCGCAAACGTCTTGAATAGATATTCCTGACAAGATAGCCTTGGAGGCAGCCATACTCCTGGTTGAATGAGCCCGGACAGCCAAAGGGGAAGGCTGACCGGCAGACTCGTAGGCAAGTGAGATGGCCTCGACCACCCACTTGCTCAACCTCTGCTTAGATACTGGACAGCCCTTCTTAGGGGGTCCAAAGCAAACGAATAGTTGTTCACTCTTTCTCCACAGGGCAGCTCTGTGGACATACGCATCTAGAGCCCTAACTGGGCAGAGCAGATTTAGTTTCTCTTGGTCCGACGTCAGAAATGGAGGAGGACAGAAAGCCTGCAGTACAATAGGCCTGACCACAATAGTTGGAACCTTGGGAACATACCCCGGTCTAGGGAGGAGGAAAGCCTTAACCATGACTGGGGAAAATTCCAAGCACGAGGGAGAGACCGACAGAGCTTGAATATCTCCTATTCTTTTTAATGAAGATATAGCAAGAAGAAATACAGTCTTTAGAGTGAGGAATTTCTCAGAAACTTCTTCAATAGGCTCGAACGGTGCTAGAGAGAGACCTTCTAGAACAACCGCCAGGTCCCAGGTCGGCACCCTCGTGCGAACTGCTGGCCTCAGCCTCAGAGTGCCATGAAGGAAACGGGTTACAAGTGGGTGTCTCCCGAGAGAAGCTCCACTCAAAGGGACGTGGTAAGCAGATAAGGCCGCCACATACACCTTCAGTGTGGAGTGGGATAACCCTGTGGAGAAACGCTCCTGAAGGAATTCTAGCACTGCACCCACCGGGCAGTTAACTGGGTCCAGCTGGTGTTCTTCACACCAAGAGGTGAACATTTTCCACCTCAAGGCATATAATTTCCTAGTGGCCGAAGCTCTGGAGTGGAGGAGGGTCTCCACGACCTCAGTCGAGAGACCAGATTCTATGAGCTGGGCCCCCTCAGAGGCCAAGCCCACAACCTCCATAGATCTGGGCGGGGGTGAAGTATCGACCCGCTCGCCTGAGAGAGAAGTTCCCTCCTGATCGGAATCTCCAGAGGAGAGCCGTCGAGGAGAGAAATTAGGTCCGCAAACCAAACTCGGGCCAGCCAGTACGGGGCTACCAACAGTAGACTGACCCCGTCCCAGCGAACCCTCTCCAGAACTCCTGGGAGCAGAGCAATCGGGGGAAATGCGTACAGGCGTGACCTCGGCCACTCCTCTACCATCGCGTCCAACCCCAGAGGGGCTGGAGGACTTAGGGAAAACCACAGTTGGCAGTGTGATGTTTCCCTGGATGCAAATAGGTCTACCTCGGCACGACCGAAATGTTTCCGTAGGAGCTCCACCAAGCTCCACCACCTCGGGGTGGAGTCTCCACTCCCCGGGCCTCGGCCCCTGCCTCGACAGGATGTCTGCCCCCTGATTCAAATACCCCGGGATATAAATCGCCCTCAATGAAAGAAGCTTCCCCTGGGACCATAGTAGGATCTGGCGAGCCAGCTTGTATAGACAATTTATGTGCCAATGAAGATGATGGTCCTGCCACAGACCCTGGGCGAGCGACCACTCATGATCGCCCCCCAGCCTGTGAGAGAGGCGTCCGTCGTTAGTGTTACACGACGACACGGAGCCCCCAACACAGGAACTAGGGACAGGAACCAAGGTTCTTTCCACATAGCCAGGGCACGGAGACACCGTCGCGTGACCCTGATCTTGCGGAGCGGGTTTCCCCTCGGGGAGAACCCCTCGGTCCTGAGCCACCACTGCAGTCGTCTCATGTACAGCAGGCCGCAAGGTATAACGTTGGACGCTGCTGCCATCAGACCCAGAATTCTCTGATATTCTTTTACAGTGAGTGACTGGCCTAGCTTTGCCTCTTTGACGGCTAAGAGAATCGAAGCTATACGAGCAGGAGACAGACGTGCCTGCATCGTCGTCGAATCCCAAACCACGCCCAGAAAAGTGGTCCTCTGTACTGGAGAAAGCACACTCTTCTTGGCGTTGAGCCTCAACCCCAACTTTTTGATATGGGCGAGAACGACATCTCGATGCCGAATCGCCTGATGCTCCGATTGAGCCAGAATCAACCAATCGTCGATATAGTTTAAAATGCGGATGCCCTGGAGTCGCAGCGGAGCCAGAGCTGCATCCATACATTTCGTGAAAGTTTGGGGAGACAGTGCTAGGCCGAACGGAAGAACCCGATATTGGTACGCTTTGCCCCCGAAAGCGAACCTCAGGAACTTCCTGTGTTGTGGAAGGATGGAAATGTGGAAGTATGCGTCCTTTAGATCTATCGTGGCAAACCAGTCCTCGGACCTGATCTGTGACACGATCTGCTTGAGAGTAAGCATTTTGAATTTGAGCTTCCCAACTGAGCGATTTAACAGATGCAGATCTAAAATTGGACGCAACCCCCCATCCTTTTTTTGGAACGATGAAATATCGGCTGTAATAACCCAACTCTCTGCTGGGAGGAAGAACTCGTTCTATAGCCCCCTTCAGCAGCAGAGTTTTCACCTCCTGTTCCATAACCAGAGCCTGCTCGGGGTCCACCACTGTGGGAAGAACCCCTCTGAAGCGTGGCAGGCGTGATCTGAACTGAATCGCGTACCCGTGTTTGATAGTCTGCAGGACCCACTGAGATATATTTGGAAGGCTTTTCCACTCTTTTGGACAAATTCTACTAAGGGTACCAGTCTCTCGAGACTGGCCTCTGGAATATTTTGAGTGGCAGACACAGTGCCCTGTAACGG